ATTGAATTTTGATATAAAAATACAAAGAAATTGAATGTTTGTAAATTATTTGGCATATGTTGTTAAATAGGGGTACAATATGACTGAGGATGCAATCTTAGGGATTAAAATGTTGTTTTTTTTATTTCACCTGGAATGTACAAGATAGCAGTACAGTCAATGTGCATTAAAAAGAGTTCCATGAAATCGACATAAACACAACACCATAAAAATTGTATGGGATCCCTGAAACTCCAGGATTTCAATTGCAGGCTGTACCGTTCACCACCGTCTTGTTAAATTTGGGCCAGTCGTTTCCATGATGTTTTCTGTGATTGACAGAGACAAAGACTGACTCACGCTCCCCTTTATTATGCTTGTTCGCTGTGTGAGCTCAAGTGGTGTTGACTCTGTGCGTGTGTTGGAGAGAAAGAGGCAGGAGACAGAGAGAGGCAAGCAGAGACAGGGAGAAAGATCTCAGTCAACACTGTAAAAAAATAGATTGTGTGAATTTGCTTCAAAGTCTGTGGCTTTTTTTCAGCCTGCACAGTCTGGTGTGTCCACATTGGACAGCTGAGCATTGTGTGTTTGATAAGACCAACAGCCGTTTGAACATGAAACTCGATAGTAATTAAGTTTCATTTGATAGATTGTAGTTAGAATTAACTACACCTCAACCACCTACTGTGAGTAGCCTACTTTACCTTAGATACTTTAAAGCTGGTAACTTTTATAAAAAATAACTTTTGTCATATTTTCCTAGAGCTCTCACTACATCCTGACAATAGTACATGAGACAGATAATCTGTGATCAAATGGGTGATCAATCAACTGTCTTTCTTGGCTCTGATTGTTTTGGTTCAGGGCTGGTGGATTTTTCAAGATGCCATAAGGAGCACTAGGAGGAGCCAGAGGAACTTGATTTTTTCACAGATTATCTGTGTATGTACAACTGTCAGGGTATAGTGAAAGTTTCACAAAATATGACAAAAAGTTTTTTATATTAAAGTTACCTACTGCAGCTTTAAGTACATTTTGCTGACATTTAAATGCACAACTTTTACTTGTGATGGAGTTCAATTGCACTACTTGGTTATAGGTTGTGGTTACTTTGTATTCCCAACCATCCACCTCTACGTCCATCCTCCCTGACAACATCACGCTACATTCACTTTTGCTTCTTGTGCACAGAAGTCATTTTTCATATGGCAAAACGATATCATTTGGTAGGGAAATGTTGACATAGCTTGTTTTACATATCTGAGTAAATTACATTTTGAGTCATGAGTCATTTTTCAAGAAGGTCCTCCCAAGAAGAGGGACAGCATGAAAAGCCCTCTAGTGGCTGTAATAATTATGACTATTGTCCATCAGGTAAAATGGCAGGTGATGTTTGTAGAGCCACAAAGTCCACAGAGCAAGATCTAACTGGATGCGTGGGTCAACAAAACCTTGGTCTTTAACATGGGAGACCGCTCTTTGTTTCAGTGTTGTTATATTTTAATCATGACCACAATCACCGCCTAACCTTTAAACACACGGTTATTACTGTAACCATGATGAAGCTCACCTAACAAATGAGTAATCTTAACCATAGTGTTGTCACATCGTAAAACAGATTTATAGTTCAAAAGTAATGTGGGCTATTTTGGATGGATTGACAATAGATTTTGTACAGACAATGCTAGTCCCGATTCCCTGACATTTCCTGTAGCACCACCAGTAAGTTGGAATTGCAATTTGTCCACTGCTTTGGAATATGACCAAATACAAATCTAGCATAGCCTCAGCTGTACTTTGTGTTTAGTCCTAATCAGCACATGTTTGCATGCTAACATGCTAAACTGAAACATCAACATGTTAGCATTGACATTGTGCGCATGTTAGGATGCACAAAGTACAGCCTCACAGAGCAGCTACAACCTTAGGACAACTTTATTCACCTTTACAGTCTCTCTTGAATTGATGTCCTTTGAATCTATTTTTCCATTTTCTGTATTAGTTGTAATCTTAACACCACCCTATCTTCAGTGTAATAAAAGAATGAATGCACATTCCATTAGTGCATGTGCAAACGGGAAGGTTTTCAATAGTCTATGTAATAAGGTTTCAGTTATTTCTAAACATAAAACATTTCAGTATGTCAGTTAAATTATGTATGTATGTATGTATGTGAATGCTACAGTATACGGCCTCAGCTTTATTATCTCCATCATTCGTGTCTATGCACATCAGGAAAAAGCCTCATGCTGTATGAACAGACAGCTGCTCCACTCATTTACTGTCATCAGTAAGGAATTTTGAAGGACAGTCAAATCCCGCAGCCAGCTCCTGGTAAACAAATGAATCACCTAAACCAAATGCTGTGTCTATTTCAGCTGAAAACTGAAAAGAGCGGCTGTGGTCAGAAAGCAGATAAAAGATAAAGTACTCGTTAGAAATATATTCAGAAGCACCACAGTAGGCTTCTGGCACAGCATATGGTGGCCTGCAACTGACACAAATACCACAAATCATTTTCACAGCAAGCGCAGTGGCCAAGTAGAGCAGAGACCCAACAGAAATGCCTAGTGAAATATAGAACAACAACCATACTATTCAGTATATGGGAACCATAATAAAGATTTTAAGGACTTTTTAGTGTTTTTACCTGATATAGGTATCAACAAACCTTCTGAACTGGCTGATGAAACATGTTGCTGTATGTAATTGATTTTTAAAGCTGCACTATCAATATTTTTTAAAATTAACATTTAGCATTTAGCAGCTAAACAGCCAGATATATTCCTCAGGTGGAAACCATGCACCCCGTTCTTCATACATGGATAACCAAGTTATCCAGATTAGAATGCTGACGATTTGACATGAGTCTGAATCTGTTGGTTCTCCAAAGCTGGTTTTAAATTAATGTGGAACTGTTGTCAGAGCAACAAGTCCTTAAATCCTGAAAAAGTGCAGGATTATTGACAATCAGCTGGATCATGGGTGCAGGCTGCCGCCGGGGATGCACTACTTATTTCTCCAGCTGCAAAACTTTAATACACTTTTTTTTCTTAACAAATTTACACATTCAGGTATGTGCATGTTTTTCACATGCACAGAAGGTGATATACGACTGCAGGGTGTGAAAGTATTAGTAGTATCTTCTCAACATCATGCCAACATTATGAATGATACTCATGTTGCCCTTATTTTTAAAAAAAATGAAGGCAAAATGACACAGTAGTTATTCCAGATAAAATCATTTAGGATTAACAAATCAATCCTTAAACTGCTTTCAAAGAACCAAATTAGCTGAATGAGAATAAACAGGATTATTTTGGTCTGATAACAGCATGTTAGCCTGAATTAGTTAAGCCATATTTGAAGAACAGGGCCAAAACAGAGTTAAAAGAAGAGTTAATATTAGACTTACATTCATCAGGTGGACACAAACACGACTCCAAATGAATGTTAATGTTTCTCTGTTGGCTGGATGCTTAAATAACACGTTCGACATTAGAACTTTAAAACACAATATAATGTGATAATATGTCAGTATTATCAACACAATGTTGTTTTTACATTTTGTGGTTTTAAAGCTGCATTGCTAAATATTTTCATATTACTTTAACCAAAACAACTTCATAAGGAGATACTATTGGTCAGTGTTTGTGTTTTCAGCCAGTTTCACTTCCCCCTAGTGGCCAAGAACCAATGTATTCAGCTTTAGTTTGAGGTCAGGCTTTCATTGAGTCAGATTTGTTTTGGCTACACCATTATGATCAGCAGTGGTACTATGAGGCAGTCGTGACCACAGTGATATTTTAATGGTCCAGCTTCCCTCCTGATGAAACAGTTACCCATGTTTCACGGTGTGTAATGGGCTTTGTTGTTCTATAATAGTCCACCACCATGGTAACCACTACTGTAACTATGGTGTGTAATGCTCTGTACCGTAGCTCCCTCCGGTGGTTGCTCACTGCCGGTAATAATTTGCATGAAAGCAACTTCACACCTAATCTTCACGTTTGGCTGAGCTGAGAGACAGGGAGAGAAAAACCACTTATGACCACCTATGTTTGCACAGGAAGCAGCTGCACAGTCAGCACGCTTGGCTGCATATGTGTGTGTGTCTCTGAACACATATGCATGTCCATACACCTTAGCATCTGTATGTTTTACACAGTGGGGGGATTTTATTTTGCTTGTGAACTATAGTTTCCAAATTGAATGCAAAGGTGGTGAACTTGAAATAGTCACGGTGACCTTTAGACCAGTGAATTTTAGTCTGCAGTCCTTGAGTGGGTTGTAGAGGGTCCCGAGTAAAAGGACAAATATAATATTTGAACTTTAATCACATTTTTTGAAAGTTGGAACAGCAAGGGAAGACATAGAATTAGCCATTTAATTGATTGCGATTTATAGTGATCCTAGTTTGATCATTGATTGACAATGAAGATGTTATCTTCAAACCTAAAAATAAACTCAGAATCCTCAGGAATAAACAGAATCCTCTCAAATAAGGGGTCTGTGGTGTAATGTGCATATACTGTGTGCATAGACTATGCTTTTGTTAACTGTGTTGGGATTTGAAGACAATCAAAAGCAGTAAGTTTTAATTGTGAACTTAAAAGGGGGAGGAGTGAGGAGGTAGGGAGAGGGAAAGAGAATGAAGAAGGGAGGGTGAGGGGTCACAAAGAGTGAAGCTTGAGGGGAAACATGAAGTTGTACATTCCACAGTTTGAACGGGGGAGCATCTGGAAATCCTTGAAGAGGGGAGGGGAGAGGAAAGGAGAGGAGGAGGCTAAAAGAGGATCTGCTGAATATTTAAGCCACATATACGGAATGTGATCAGGGTCGCAATATATAATGTTTTTCTAAGAGTTAAAGGTGTTAAAGGTATGTGTGTGTAAAAATATGGAAAATATGCAAAAATGAGCAACAATGAGAAGATCCGGTCAAGTAATTTGAATGATTTGTTAACGTCACTGCTCAAAAAAGAGTAATAACAGTGGGCTGTTAAAAAAGAAAGCATGATTGTATGAGACAGAGGTTGTAGACAAGAAAAGAGCAGGGGAAGTCTGACCAAAGTGTTCGGCCTCTTCCTGCCTGACAAGCAGCTCAGGAAGTTGAGGCAGACACAGAAGGGGAGGGCTGACACAGAGAAACATATTTTCCCTTTGCCTTTTAGTTTTTCCTTATTCAGTCCTGCTCCGATCAACAGGAGGAAGAAAAAGGGGGGGCAGAGAGGAGGCGGAGTTTTCAATGGAGCTGAGAGAGACACAGAGTGATCAGTCGGACCCTCAATCTGTGGAAATATGATGGAAGCCAGCGTTATTTCCAAGGACACAGGGTGAGTTTGTGAGGGGTCTGTGATAATGTAGCTGGGTGAAAATACAGTGCAGGAACTGTACTCTTTGGCAGCAGGGGGATGTTGTAACTGCTGTGGAAGGGAGGGGGGAGTCGGGGGTTGAAAGTCAGGAAGCCAGAGCAGGAAAAACAGATGTGATGACTCACTGACTAATAAATAGGTCAATAGCATCTGAGAGTTTGTGAAATAGTAGATGCTGATTTTATGTTTTCTCACCAAATCTCTTTTCTAGTACATGAACTGAAGCAGGAGAAGGACTTTGTTACGGAAATGCTCACATTCAGTTGATCCCACTTATGTGTGAGAATACGAGTGGTTGAAAGTTGCCCCAGACAACTTTAAAAAGGCAGATGAGACCGTTATATGGCAGCCACAATGATGTCGACACTGAATCTACAGAGCAATGTTATTAATATGATTTAGGTTGAGACTGTTTAACTTTTATCGCTGCGTTTGTTGAGCCTATAACATGCTCTCCTTTAAGAAAATAAGGTTATCAAATAAAAAGACAAACGATAGGTTACAATGAAATGTTAATTTGGTCCATTTATTTTGTGGATAAGAGCTAGAGTCAGGGTGGAAATGTGATTATCCTAAAGTCAGCGGTGGATGAGGTATTCAGATCCTTTACTCAAGTAAAACTATCAACTCTGCAATAAAGAAATGCTCCATTACAAGTATAAGTCAGTGAAAGTTCTTAGGTATGATTATCAGTAAAATGTAGTAAAGTATCAAGTAAAAGTCGTGCAGAAAGATGGCTCCTTTGAGTGTTATACTAATTACATTTTTATATTATATTGTTATTAATAATCAATTAATGTGTAGGTAGTGTTTTTCTGCTCATTTTAACTTTTTTATACACTGTTGGGTAGATGAATCCATAACAATGCACCATATATATACTAGTTGCTAATGCTCAAGTAAAGTACAACTATCTCAAATTTGTACTTGAGTAAATAGTCTGTACAGAGTTATCCCGAGGACTGCAAAGAAAGCTCACATCACACGTTTAAAACAAATGCTCTTTGAGATAAATTTCAAATACAGCATATTCCAGGACGTCTGTGCCGAGTGTTTTACTGACTACTGCAATTTTCTACTGCCATGCCCCATTTAGCTGACCTAACGGTTATTCTACCCCTTTTCCTGTGAGCGAGCCTAACATGTGTGGCACAAACAGGACTTCTGGGAAGTGTTCTGTAGTCATGTGCTTTCCTCAGTTTCTCAGGATATTCTTTTTGAATTCACAGAAGAGTGACCTAACTCACAACTGGATTATATGTGGCATCAAATTTTAAAAGAGATCCAGTGGTTCAAATAACAAATAGTGTAAGGGTTGTTGTATTTATGCAGACAGATTCAGAAACTGACACTGTTATGTTAGTATGAATAATCTACTGACCTCAGTTTTCTAAGGAACTACTTCTTTGGTAAAAAGTGGATCCAATAAAAATGGTTCTGGGACGGAGCAGGGTGTTGGGGTGGAGGGAGAAGTCTAAGATATCTCAGTACTGGAACAATAAAAAACTAAATTTTCTGCAAGGCCAGCTACGACTAAATGTTTTTTGTTGTTTTTGGGTAACTGACATTTGAAATACCTCTAAAAGACCTATGGTCTTTTTAAAATGACAGTGTTGATACAGGTTCACATAGCCTAAGGCAGTGTTTCCCAACCTTCCTCATTAAGGGACCCCTTTTCTATTGCTGAGTAAACTGACTAAGTGACAT